CTATGAGTCAGGTTTGACTCGACGGCACATAACAACAACAACAACATTTTCCAGAGTATCCCATGGGACCATGTTTCAATGTTTTAGGCTTTGGAATCAGATAGACCTCAGTTTGAGTCCTCTGTCCTGCCACTTACTAGGCAATAAGACCTTGGGTCAATTTCTTTATCTATAAAGCAGGGATAACGATAAGTGAGATAATTAGGTAAACATGTAGCTCACACATTACTCATTCAAAAAATAAGTTAGCTATTAAAAAACAAACAAACAAAAAACCTCACTGCCATCGTGTTGATTCTGACTCATAGCAACACTCTTTGGGTTCCCAAGACAGTAAATCCTTACGAAAGTAGATTGTCCAGTCTTCTTTCTGGGGAGTGGCTGGTGGGGTTGAACCACCAGCCTTTTGGTTAGCAGTCAAATGCCTTAGGCACTGTACCACCAGAGCTCCTTATGTTAGCTATTACTGTTAACTACTTCTTGGAAGGAAGATGGGGCAATCTACTTCTGTAGTGAAACTGCCTTGGAAACCCAAGGAGGGGTCACTATGAGTCAGGTCCAACTTGACAGTACACAACAACAACAAAAATAGCAAACATTCATTCACAGAAACTGAAAAAGAAAACCCCCAGTGTGTTCCTACCTTTGATTTCCTCTTCTACATTTCTTAGGATAGAATATAAAAGTGAACCACTGCCTCTGGCCTGCACTCTGTTACCAGAACCAGGAAGATGGAACAGATTTCATAGCAGCCTTCTCCACATGGCCTGCCTGCTTGACCCTTTGTCCTGCCTAGAGATTTGGAAAGACTCCACTACTAACCAAGCTGCTAGGACAGCAAAAAAAAAAAATAAAAAAGAAAAAAGAAAAGCCACAAGGAAGCCTTAAAATGAAAATTAGCATTTTCCGCTGGAGCTCTGAGATGCTTGGCACAGAGCTTGACTCCTAGTAGGTACTCAAATTTTGACTGATAGTCTGTCTATTCCATCTCTTTTTATCTTCATCATCATTATCATTTTTGTAACACACTTTGATGTAGGCCTAAAGAGAGCAAATGGTCCAGTCCCTGCTTTTCCAGTTTTAGAGAAGAGATAACTGAGGCTTAAAGAAGTTATACAACTTTCCCAAAGTTACATATTACTCGGTGGCTGTTAAGAGAAAGATCCCTACTTCCTGGTGCAGTGATTATTACATTCATTCTCCCTTTTGCTGTATAAGAATCTGATTTACAATGATACTATCAGAATATACATTTTCACCAAAAATCTTTCTTTCATAGCCCAGTGATTTTTAAGTTTCATTTTTCTATCATTCTTGCCTACATAGACCTTAAATTAAACTCTTCATCTGCAAATTGGGGATGGAAATGTACTTGTTGGCCTTTTAAGGCTGTTTTAGGTTTCAGGGACTATAAATGCCCTATTTCTACTTAAGAGTCAACTCTTACAATGACACTACTCCCTTCTCATCACTGTGGATGATGAGACCAGAAGTTCTGGCTACATCTACTCCCTCCCTCCCTAGATTTGCCATTAGAATTTCCCTCCCAGTGATAAATGACACACATTGAAGGCAAGAGAGACAAAACAGAGAGAGGAATGGTGATGATGATAGTTCTCTTTTAAATTTCCTGGTTGTAAAAATATGGAAGCCCATCACTCTCAAAATAAGAAATAGTAAATTCAGCTAAAGGACATAATATAACCAAATGAAGTCCTATTTATCATTTGTTGAATTCTTCACCACTAATTCCATTATAGCCTGCAAGATCTAGGCATGTCCACCTATTAAGATAGTCAATCACAAGTAAATCCAGTTTATAACATCAACCCTTTGACTAAATGAAAGCATGGATGTGATCCATTCACTTATTTAAAGAGCATTATTTAATGACCACTTATTGGCAAGTTACTGTGTGCCAGGCACTGGGGCATATAATAGAAAGCAAAAGCTTTTAAGTGTCTCTGCACTACAGTATCTTCTCGGTCTAGCAAGGGAGAAAGACTAGGTAATCAAGAGACAGGCCTGGTGATCTGCTTCCTGCACATGTGGGATAATCACATGTAGGAATTAGTTGATAACTAACAACAATGTAACAATACACTTCTTATATAAGGAAATGAAATTGAGAAGTTTCTCTTTTTTTTTCCTTCTATTTTGACCTTGTTCAAATTTCCTTTTATCCAGCACCTATTTTTTGGTTCCTATACTGGGTCATCTAAACAGAGTATTTCTGAAAGTAAAAGGGAGTGCTACTAATAATTTTGCTGAATCAGCAGGGACTGTCCTGGTCAAACCAGGATGTATGGTCACCCTAGTCACGAGAAATGTGAATAGTTCTTCCTAGTTCCCCTTATTCCTGAAAAGCACTATTCTGAAGAATGTGGTCATAAAAAAGCTTAAGGAAACAGATCATACTGGTGATCTGAGGTAGGCTAACAAAAGCATATTTCTTCCTTTAGATGATCTGGCCTCTACCGTGTCAGAGCCACAACTTCTGTGGTCAGATTTTGAAATTCAGAAGAGGGAACAATATCTCTTCTGAATGCTTTTCCTGCAATGGGGTAAGATTACATTTTCCCAATTTACTAAGTTCTTGTATTTCTTTCAGGTACCACAAAATCAGGTATAAAAGAATTCTAAATCAAAGAGGTTTAAACAAAATTCCAACATCAGCCTACAGAATGCCAGCAAGGACCAGGCTGTAGATTTTTACCCCCAGGCCAAGGTACTGAGAAGCTGTTTGGCACACTGGCATCTCCACACTTCTGAAATTAGAACATTTTCTGAAATATCTAAAGGAAAGAAAAAATTAGTAACAAGAAACTGTTTATATACCACTGTCATCCACTTGGAAGGGATGTAGGAGATCCTGGATAGAGAGGGAGAACAATGTGGAACAAAACTCAAAATCATTTGGAGGGAAAAAA